CAGAAACGAGTTTTCTTTTGTGATATCATTGATAAGATATCGTATGCCAATAGTTTGGCTGTCATTTTGACAGTTCTGTCATTTGTTTTGGCATTATATTCATTTTAATTGGACACGCATTTTAATCAAGAGGAGGGGGCCTTAGTGAGCTTTATTAAAAGTTCCCACAGCACAGCAGCTGCCATTGTTTTGCCAGCTGTAATGAGCACACGTCATAGGCTTTAGTTAGATTTTAATTTTGATTTTTGTTCTTCTGGTTTTGAGTCTCTGACAAATTGACTAATGCATTTTTAATGAACTACAAGAAGTCGCTTATGACATCACTTGATGGGCTGCTCTGATTTCAATTATAAACGACTCCGGAATTCATTTAATTTTCGTCAGATGTGATGTGAAAATTAAACCAATCCGCCTTTCACAAAAGCTAAAGCCCAACAGAATCCTTCGCTTGGCATTTAAGGATTGCCCCTTGATAAGCTGTGTTTGCTTATGCTGTTGGGGTATTTTAATTTTAGCACAAGGTGTGTAATCTCTGAGAAACATTGATTAAGCATGTATCAAGAATTGAGTTGATATAGACATGACTCTTAACTGTATGATTATGTCTCTTTAGGGCAGTATACATTGATGTTGGAGTGAAGTACCTCACCGACTTATATTTTTTTTTTTATTTACTCTAAAGATTCAAACTATCGACTATATCACAGAATTGTCATGCCATGATTGCCATGACTTATCTTCACATCCCTGCACATCCCATCCATAGAAACTTTCCTCTGTAAGAGTCTTTAGTCTTCGGTTAATTCATCATTTTTGATTTCCTCTTTAACAAAAAAGCAACGAGTGGGAAATGACCCGCATGACTCGCTGCAGGCCAAGAACCTTAAGCGGCATTTCATAGTTGATTTATTTTTCACAGGCTGCAATGCTGCTGGAGCTCTGGCTGTGGCCCCAAGGTCAGGCATGCGGCGACGACCCCTCAAGTTCAGCCTGGCCACGTAGTCAAAAAGTCATTCAACTGTTGTCCGGGTACTCGATGATAAGCTTACATAAGCATCCGCCTCCGTATCAAGGCGTTGCATGCAACGAACATGTTTTTTTGGGGCAGCTGCTGGGATGCTGCCTGACTGCCTGGCTGCCTGGCTGCAGCAGCTTGCATCAAGGTCGACTTGTGTAAGAGCAGCTGAAAGGCGGACAGGACAGGAAATTGAATCACGGTGAATCATGCACAGAAATTTAGTGAGCCTATGTAAGGCAGGTCACCTTAAATATTTAATTGATGGCCCCGCCAACTTGTGGATATTTGGTAAAAGGCTTGAAGTCGTCCGTACGCTTGAGTCAGCGCGAGAGGCTTGAGGCTTCTCTGTCGCGAGTCTGGGGCAGGCATTGACATTTGATATTTTTGCGCGCGAATAAACTGTTCCGACTCGTCAAGGGGATTGCAATTTACAGGCTTTCTAAATTTGGCCAGTTGGCTGAAAATGTTGGCCAATCGCCGAACGATTAAAGACAGCAATTGCGATTTACTAAACCTGTCGACCAGGCCTCTCGTCGCATCTCGTCGGCCAGCACGCATAAAATATCTCAAACTATTGGCCATTTGTGAGATACAAACAGAAGATACATATTTGTCAGACTTATTTCGAATGTTGTTAGCTATTGCATAAATTATACAAAATATTTAACTTGTTTTTCGACTTTAATTTGCTAGTTTCTGTTCTCACCAAAGGTCGTTTCCAATATAACAAACAATTTTTGTTTTGGTTTTTTTTTTCTTTGGTTAGGCAAGAGCCAAACGCGTGGGCTCTTACATATACATTTTTATATATTATAATAATA